CAGGCCCACAAGATACATTTTCTAAAATTTATTTTATTTAGGCCAAGCACGGTGGCCTCAGCAGTCAGGAAGCAGAGGCAGAGTTCCAGGCCAGTCTGTTCTATATAGTGAGTTCCAGGTCAGCCAGGGTTACATAGTGAGACCCTGCCTAGGTAAAAAAAAAAAAATCAATCAGTATATGTACTTGTGAAAATCAGATAATCTAGGGTTCCTGAGAGAACCTTTTGTCTCATCTCACCCTTTTCTAGGCGGGTGCCCCCTCAGGTGCCTCCTCTGGGCTTCTCTCTAGACAACACACTGGCGTTACGGTTTCTTGGCTTGTCAAGCATGAACATGCTGTCACCTGCTGAGTTCACACTGTGGACCATAGAGACTTAGTGCCCTCACGTTCCCCTCCCCACCACACACTAGAATGTTCTTTCCCAGCCCTCTTCACAGTTACACTATGATTTGGTATAATAAATATTCATTGATTATATTATTATTATTTCATGTTTATTATTTGTGCATGTATGTGCGTGTGTGTGTGTGCGTGTGTGTGTGTAGACCAGAAGATTATCTGGGACTAGAGATACAGGCAGTTGTGAGGTGCTGTGTGGGTGCTAAGAACCAAATTCTAGTCCTCTGCAAGATCATCAAGTGCTCATAACCACTAAGCCATTTCTCCAGCTATTGCTATTTTTCTTTTAAATTTTAAGTATTTATTATTATTATTATTGGGGAAAACACTGTTTGGAGCTACATTCTCAGCTCCTGGAGACTCTAGTCTGGAAAACAGAAATATAGGTGGCTCTCACTTCTTTCGTCATCCTCAGTGGGCAGCCCCAGGAATCTTTCCCAGCTGCCCAATCCCGAATAGCCTGCTGTAGCTCCCCTGTGCTTCTCAAGAGAGACACTCTTTGGCTTCCCTTTTCTGGGCACCTCTGCATCTTCAGACAGTACCTGCTTGCTCCATTCTCAAAGAGTTGACCTCAGTGGTCTACAAGGGGGAGCACTGCCTTTCATCCTGTCTGAGACCCACACTGCTGGTTGAGTCTTGGAAGCAGAGGGGTGGGCTGACTGCTTGTCCTGGAGGTGTGGGGGGTCAGGCATGGTCAGTGGCAGGCACAGTGGGGAGGGCGCAGGGAGGAGCCTCTGTCTGCCTTCCTGTCATACCCATTCCCGGACATGTACTGAAGGCAGACTCCTCTTGGGAGGTCCAGTGCTGCCATCTGGTCTGTGGCCTGCTGGGCCCACTCTCCCAGATCCTGAGAGCTTCTGCCTGGCACCCGTAGCCCTGCCAAGGCCATGCACAGCCAAGGTGAACTGAGGACACGCCTGGCTTTGAGTGCCAGACTTCCTCAAGGCTTTCCTATGGCAGGCACTTCCAAGGGCTGGCCCTATGGGGCACAGCTTGCGCCCTGGCCCATTGCAACCCCAGGTGCCTCCAATCAGGGGCTGTTATCAAAGTTATTTCCCAGAGGTGGATGTGAGTTTTCTGAAGTTCTAGTTGCATGTGGAGACTTGTCTGGAAGTGGTGAACCCGGGGCTCATTAATGGCTCTGCTGTTTCACATGTATTAGCTCTAGGAACCCAACGGTCCTGTGGGAAGCAAAGGCTCTTATTTTTATTCAACAGAGAAGGAAATCAAGGCACAGAGAGGTTGAATGACTTGCTTGATATCATTCAACCAGCACTAGTGGAAACAGAATTCTCCTTCCAGCTGGCCCCGTTTGTGTGTGTGTGTGTGTGTGTGTGTGTGTGTGTGTGTGTGTGTACATTCACTTGTCAGTGGTCAACCCCGCAGGTGCTGTCACTCAGGTGCCATCACCTTGTTTTTTGATACAGGGCTTTTTCTCCTCCACCTCCTCCTCCTCTTCCTTCTTCCTCTCTCTCTCTCTCTCTCTCTCTCTCTCTCTGAGACAGGGTCTCATTAGGTAGTCCTGGCTGGACCTATATTTTTCCACCTTTCTACTGTAACCCTTACTGTCCTGGAACTCACTCTGTAGATCAGGTTGGCATTAAACTCACAGACATCTCTGCCTGCCTCTGCCTCCCAAATGCTGGGATTAAAGGTGTGCATTGCCACATCTGGCTGACACAGGGTTTCTTACTGGTTTCTTACTATGTATGGTTCAGCATTAGGCTAGACTGAATAGCCAATGAACTTTTGGTATCCTTCTGTTTCCGTCTCCTCAGTGCTGGGGTTACAAGCACATGCCGGTGCACCTGGATTTTTTATGTGGGTGCTTGGAATTGAACTCAGGTCCTCATGCTTGCACAGCAAACCCTTTACTGACTGAGCTATCTCTCCAGCCCCTGACCTTGGATATTTTACACACTTTAGTCTCTAGCTTGATGATAAAGACCAATTGGGTATGTGTAAGGGTTCTCTCTTGGGATATAGAATGCCAAAGCATCATCATGCCCATTTTACAGAGGAGACAGTTAAGGAAAAGGAGAGTGGGCTGGTGGGATGGTTCGGTGTGTAGAGGTACTTGCCATGCAAATTTGGCGACCTGAATTCAGTGCCTGGAACCTACATAAAGATGGAAGGAGAACAGGGTGGGGAACAGAGAAAAATGCATTAAAAATAAATTAATTAATTAAAAAAAGATGGAAGGAGAAAACCCACTCCACAGAGTTGTCCACTGACATCCACACATGTGCCATGTCATATGTCCACACACAAACACGAGAGAGCATGCAGCAGGAGTGGGGAGTGAGCTCAGAGGAGGGGAGTGATTCTCCCTGAGGTCATTACTTTCAGGAAGGAGGCTCTGACTGTAGCTTTGACACTCAGGCCCTGACCTCAGCTCCTTCTCTGTCTGACCACACTGCATCCCTGCTGCCTCCTTCAGAGAGGAGGGTTTTGGACATCCAGCAGAGGCAGCATAAGCTGTGGCTGTCAGTCCCAGCTTGTCTCTGGCCACTGCAGCCTCGCTGCCTCATCCACAGCCTTCACCCGGAGAGATGCTGAGGACACAGTGTTTTCTGTGCGCCTCACTGCTCCCCGATTAGCGCAGCCATGAGGCCCTATTTCCCCAGCAGGATTCCTTCCCCGAGCCTCCTCGCAGCCTTCTTCCTTGCAGGAAGCTGAAGAAGATGCCCAGTCAAGCCCAGAGCCAAGCCCTGGTCTAGGAATCAGGCCTCCTGTGTAGTCCCCCGCGCCATGCTGCCCTAGTAAACGTTTAGTCTGTTTTGTAGCAGAACATCAGGCAGATGTCTGTGCTCCATAGCCACACTGTGAACTACCTGAGGACCAGAGCACTGATGGAACCATGCCGGATGAGGAATGTGTTCCCCAGAACTGAGCAGACGGGAAAGAGGCTGCTCAAGCACCAGGGGGTGAGCAGGGTGACTGGAATACAGTAGAGTCCCGGCCCACACTGTAAACTGTAAGGGCCAAGAGCCCTGGACATTGCCTAAGTGGCTCTGCCCACAGAGGCCAGAATTAATGGGGAACTGACAGTTAAAAGCAAGAAAGCTGGACGGACAGATGCTGTCTGAGGGCAAGCGCGTGCCGAGCATGGCAAGCGCCTCTGCATAGGCCATGCTGACCATTACACTGGGGAAGCCTCACACCTTCATGTGTGCCTACACTGACAGAGAGGTCTAGAAGGTGGGGAGTGTATGTCCTTCATGAGGTAGCTAGCTAATTGGTTAAGAGCTACCCCTACCCCTAACCAGCAAGCTATGTCACCTCGGCTCTTTCTGGTCAGGTTTGAGCCCAGCCTGACCATGGTTCTGGTCCAATTCAGAATGGTCCCCATGCCTCCCACTGTCACCTCATCAAATCTGGCAAGGTAAGGTTGTTGTCTCCTTTGATGGACGGGGAAACCGAGGCCTCAAGTGCAGGAGGGTATAGGCAGCTGTTACAGAGCCTGACTCAAGGCTGAGTCCCTCTCCGTAGCCTACACAACCAATGGAAATAAAGGACGGGCAAGGCATGAAGCAGACACACGGGAGGCCGTGCGAAGCAGAGAAAGGAGTCATTTGCAGAAAATCCATGCAATGCCTGAGTCAGGTCATTGCTGTGTCTGGGACCTTTGCAGCAGCCTGTGCTTCTGAACTGCGCCGTAGCCTATCTGATCTCTGGCCTTTGCTGCGCCAATCCGTGTGCGGCAAATATTCCCTGAGCGCCTACAATGCAGCCAGTGCAGTCTGAACAGCAAGTGCAAGGAGAGGCAGACTTGTCCTGCTGTGAGCTTTTCAGTCAGGACAGGCTGTGACCGTAACCCCTGTTCCCTCCCTGGTCAGTGATTCAGGGTGACAATGTCCTAGTCCTACTGGGTGGCGCTGGTCTCTGCTCCAGTTAGAATCCCCCAAACACCTGAGACTGCCATGTCTTCTGTAACCTAAGAAGCTGATTCACAGTTCCGGAGGCCCGGCAGGAAGGTTGAGTCAGGTGTGTGCAGTCCCAGCATCTGGGAGGGAAGGGCTGTAGGATCAGGAACACAAGGCCCGCTTTGGCTTTCTAGTGAGTTTGAGGCTAGCCTTGGCTACAAGAGAACTTGTTTCGAAATAGACAAATAGAATTGGCAAGCTTGCGCAACTGGTAAGAGCTCTGCCCGTGTGTCCTTGATGACCTGAGAGATCCATCCCCAGGACTCACAGTGGAAAGTCAACCAGCTCTGGAGGTCGTCCTCTGAACCCCACGTGTGCACACACGCACACACACACAAACACACATGAATACAAATGTAATAATTTTAAAGTTTCTACTCTGTCTCCACAGTCTAGCTTCCAGGCCAAGTTCCCAATGGCTGCCAGGGACAAATACTGTCCAGGACCTCTTTTGTGCTCTAAGAAAACAGGGAGCCCATCACTATATCTTCTGGGACTTAACCAACATTAGGCTGGAATTTGAAGAACTCAGAGGACCCATCAGAAGGCCTGATACCCTCTCCCTGTGTGGCCCTAGGAGATCCCTCTGTCCTTGAGCCCTGGGACTCTGGGCTGGGCTTGATGGCAGGAGTTGGGAGAGGCTCAGAACTTGAGTGTCAGTCACCAGGCAAATATTTCCTTCAAGTCAGTGGTTTTATTAATGTGTTCAACCCCAGTGCCAGGTACTGGGTGTGTGTGGAGGCAGAAGGGTCTCTTTCCCTCCCTGGGCCTCTGTTTCCCTCTGTCACACAGGGAGGAAGGACTTCCCTGCTTCCTTCATCAGGATGTAATGAGGTCTAAAGAGGCAATGCGCATGACTGGGCTTCTCAGGCATAGCACCCAGAGTGAGGAAGTCCAGACGCGGTCCTCGCCTTTGAAGGCTCGCTGTCTGTGAGGGAGACCCAAGGTAGAGCTTGGCCCTGTGACCAGGCGATATTCAAGAAATTCTCAGCCGTGTTTGGCTTTGGCTTCACTGAACACTGTCCTAGAAACGGCTGGTCTGTGTGGGGTCAAGAGTGTTGTTGACACTCTCATTTCTGCATAGGTCCCTAAGACCTTCATACATGCCAGTCCAGAAGGCAGGGGGCTAAGTGCCTTCTCCTCAGGCCTATGGAGGTCCATGCTAAGAGCTAGCTGCCTGAACCAAGAAGGGCAGCCACACAGGGCTTTGAATGACCTAATGACAGAGGCCTCCACGGGTCACATGACAAAGGCTGGAAGAGTTCAGAGTACAGAAAAGTCATGAAGAAGCAGATGGGGAGACGGGAGACGCAGGAGTCCAGCTGGCGGAGCAAGGGGCAATCACAGCAGTTCTAAGCTGTCGGTGTCCAATGAGGTCTCTGGGGAGGCTGGCCGATGCAGGGTCACACTGGGGATGCTGGCGACAAAGCTCTTCCACTTTCTCCTCAGCTGCTGGAAGACCAAAGAGGAAAAATGACAACACAACGGTGGGCTTCAGATGCTGTTCCACTCATAGCCACCAGGTGGGGGTAGATCCATGAAGGAGAGGCTAAGTTCCTGGGGGAGAGGGGGACTCTTCCCGCTGGGAGGTAGGGCCCGGAGGGGTGGGGAAATCTACCCTCTTTCCCTGGTAAGAGAGTGACGGTAACTTGCCAGAAGTTGCTCTGGCCGATTTCCTTGCCTCCTGCTCTAGTCACCCTTCCGGCCTAATATTACGTTAATCATCTTAATACAGCCCTGAAAGGCTGGCAGGGCGGTTCGTGCCTGTACACCCAGCAGCACTCGGCACACGGTAGGATCAAGAGTTCTAGGCCATTCTGGCTATAGAGTGTGACCCTATCTCAAACACACAGAGTTCTGACCACATCCCACCCAGGCCCCATTTCATCCCTCCTCCAACCTTCACTGACTCCCCAAAGCACACGGAGAAAATCCCAGCTGCTTCCAGAATGTTCTGCCCCTGGGTATTTGCTTGACTTTCCTCAGGGCAGCTGCGCTCTTGACCCTTTTCTGCCCTGGGTCCCCACCGTCTGTCCCCCATCTGCCCTGGGTCCCCACCGTCCGTCCCCCATGGAACTGGTAATTCAATTCGAAGTCTCACCTGTTGGTATTGCCTCAACCACCACTGGCTGCCTCCTCTCTGGGTTTGGATCAGCTGCTCCGTGTCTCCCCGGGTCCCTGGCAGCCGGTCCTGAACAGGGACCTCGGGCCCTTCTGTGCCAGCAAGGCCCTGAGACCTGGACTGTCTGAGGCTCAGTGCCCTGTGGAGTCGGCCCTCCAGGGGCCTCCCCTGAGACTCACGGAGCTTCCCGTAGCAGGACCGGGGTTCTCGAAAGGACCGACTGCGCAGGCTGGTTCCCATGGTTCTGGAGGCTGTAACTGTTCTGTGAGCCACTAACTTTGTGAGATAGCCTGGTGCGTCCACTCATATGATGGAGCCAAAGGTCAGCACTGCTGAGGTGGCTGTCATAAACCAAAGGGCAGGCCACAGAGATCAAACATCTCTGAGTCACTTCCCAGTTGTCTCCTCACCCTGTGGGATTAGATAGCCCAGGCTGGCCTCAAACTCATAACCCTTCTAAGTGCTGGGCTAGCTCCCACTGTCTTTCCTCTGGCTGTACAGTCAGCCTGTTCTGACCTCTCTACCCTTGGGGACCTTGGCCTTGGCCATCCTTAGCGCTCAACTCATTGATGCTTCCACAGGAGAGCAGAGACCAGACAGCTTCAACCTAGAACTGTCAGATTCACACACACCAACCAGCGTGAAACTGAGTAAGGCAGCGGGCTGGAGCAGGGAACGGTGCTTGTTTAATGGCTACAGACTCCTGAGTTTTACAAGGTGACAAGGGCTCTGGAAGTCAGTGGTACACGTAAAACACCCGTGACCCACAGGGCCTGGGGAGATGGCTCATTCGTAAAGTGTCTCCTGCACAAGGTTTGAGTCTGGCTCCCCGGTACCCAAGTGGGAAGGCAGGTGTGCAGCACACAGGGCAATCCCAACACCAGAGAGAGATGGGAGTCTCCCTGGGGCTTGCCGGCCTCCTAATTGAGTTGCATTGGTGAGCTCTGGTTCAGTGAGAGACCCCGTCTCCAAACATAAGGTGAAGGCTGCCAAATGGTTGAGAGGGTTAAGGCATGGGCCACCCCGCCTGACAACCTGAGTATGATCCTTGATGGTGGAAGGAGAGAACGGGGGGCCCACAGGTTGTCACCACGCCACCACATGCATGCTGTGACACCCCAGCTCTCAAGAATGCACAGGAAACAGACAAATAAATGAATGTAATTTGAAAATCTAAAATGGTGAGGTCAGGCATGGTGGCGCGTCTTCAACCTCAGTGCTGAGGAGATGCAGTCAGGGGAATCTCTGCCAGTTCGAGGCCAGCCTGGTCTACACAGCTAGTTCCTCTCAAAAATAAAAAATAAAATAAAAATTAAAGGTAGAAAACGGCAGAGAAAGATACTTGATATCAACTTCTGCCCCCCAACATAAGTCCCCCTCACACACATACACTACATAGAGACACAAAGAAGAAAATCAAAAAATGATACATAGTAAATATTATTTCACTGTACCAGACTTGTTTTTAGAAGGGGTCGTATATAGGCCAGATTGGCCTCAAACTTGCTATGTGTCAGAGGACAGTCTTGAACTCCCCATCCCCCTGTTTCCACCCCTGAGTTCTTGGATCACCAGGGTGAGTCACCACGCCTTGTGTAGCTAGTGCTAGGGATGGAACACAGATCCTTGTACGTGCTAGGCAAGCGTTGTACTAACGGGGCTACATCCTCAGCCTAGAAGGAAAAAAAATGAAGAAAAAAAAACAGGACAGTTCCTAGAGGTGTCAGATGCCTGGATTTTTCCAGCCTTAGCCTGGCCTCAATATTCTAGCAAAGCACACGGTTAAGAGCCCAGGCTCTGGGGACCACTGTCTCTAGGTGAGCTGTAGTCTTACTGCGCTAAGCTCTGCGACCTTGACTTACATTCTGCTCTCCTAGGTCCCCTCAGCTGTAACAGGGACAAAGAGCTGAGGCTGCTGTGTGGACTAACTGGGGTGCATAGGTCTGGGACCCTGGAAATGCTCAGTTAAAGTGAGTTGATGGCATTCATTGTGTTGTGGTTATTGTTGTTTTCAGTTTCTCCGGGTAGCCCTGACTGTCTTGGAACTCACTTTGTAGGCCAGGCTGACCTCAAACTCACAGAGATCCACCTTGCCTCTGCCTCCCGAGTGCTGGGGTTAAAGGTGTGTGCCACTTTCTGGTACCCAGCTAATGGCATTCTTTCTTGTGTGTAAACCCTTTCTTGTAAGTTTCCTCATCTGTAAAATGGGTTGTTTGGAAACTAACACGCATCATGGACATGAAGTGAGGCTACCCACGGCAGCTCTCAGATGAGACCGGGGAGAGAAGGCCGTGGTCTGGGCCAGTGACTCCCTGGAACTGCTTCGAATGCCGAGGGGATTCCACACATCTGGAGCGCCCTCTTTGAGCGTTTCTATTATTAATGCCCACATTTCTGGGGCTAGAAAGTCATTTGTCACCAGCCTGATGACACGGTGGAAGGAGAGAACTGGCTTCTGAAAACTGTCCTCTGGTGTCCATATTCACACCACACACACACACACCCCAAACATGTGTACAAGTGTTTTGGCAACATGTCTGAATGTGCACCATGCGCATGCCTGGTGCCTGAAGAGGCCAGAAGAGGGAGCTGGATCCCCTGGAACTGGAATCCAGACTGTGAGCTACTGTGTAGGTGCTGGGTAAGGAACCTGGGTCCTTTGCAAGAGGAGCAAGGGCTCTTCATCCCTGATCCATCTCTCCAGGCTCACATTTCCAAATTTTGTTTTATTATTTGTTTGCTTGAAACAGGGTCTCCTGCTGTAACCCAGGCTGCCCTTAACTCTCAAGATCTTCTTGCTTTAGCCTCTCAAGTACCGGGATTATGGGCATGCATCAACATACTTTACCTATGTGTGTGTGCACGTGTGTGTGCATGCGTGTGCAAGCATGCACACACGCTTAAGCACAGAGGTTACCGGACAACTTTGGGTGCCAGTTTTCTACTTCCACCATGTGAGTCCTGTGAATACACGGAGGTTGTCAGGCTCTGCAGTGAGAGTATGTATGTTTACCCCCGGACCATTTCATCAACCCATAAATAAATCTTTAAAAAAAATTAAAAGTGAGTCCCTGACCTTCAGCATTAGCCTGTCCCACAACCCTGTTCTGAAGCAGACCTGGGTCTCTTTTTGTTGTTATTGTTTCTCACTGTGTAGCCCTGGCTGGCCTGGAACTTACAGAGATCTGCCTGCCTCTGTTTCTTGAATGCTGGGACTAAAGATGTGTTCTGCCATGCCTGGCTACTGTTGAGACAGGATTTCCTGCAGCCCAGAATGGCCTCAAGCTTGAACTCCTGCTTCTTCTGTCTCCATCTCTCAAGCGCTGGGATTACAGCTGTGCACCACATACCTCTTTAGTGCAATGTACCTATGCCCCTAGTGTTAAGACACCCACACCCTTTTGCTGCTTTAAAGACTTCAGAACCTTTAGGGGCTGGAGAGATGGCTCAGCGGTTAAGAGCATTGCCTGCTCTTCCAAAGGTCCTGAGTTCAATTCCCAGCAACCACATGGTGGCTTACAACCATCTGTAATGAGGTCTGGTGCCCTCCTCTGGCCTGCAGGCATACACACAGACAGAACATTGTATACATAATAAATAAATATTTAAAAAAAAAAAGACTTCAGAACCTTTAGCACGCTTATCTCAGCACCTGTAGTCAGCTCAGATCTCCAGCCTTCGGTCTGGGATGTGCTCAGGGGTAAAGTGCTTGGCTGGAGTGTACCAGGCCTACCTTCTATCCTTGCCCCACAGAAACTTAGGGCTGTGGGAAGGGTGTGGTCTGAGTCCAGAAGGTGCTGCTGACTCACTGAACCCCCATTGAGCCCATAACTGGAAAGTACCCCCTTGCTGAACATTTAGTAATTTTTTTTTTTCACTTTTCAACATTTTATTCCCACAAGGCAGCCAAGGTGAAGCTCAAGCCGGGGGCCACAGGGCTCCGGACCTTCCTCTGGTGGGGGATGCACGCCAGGTCCTCAGGACTGCCCCACCAGCAGGCTGGTTTGCAGGCAGGCCATCCTGAGGGCTCCAGGGGTCACAGGGCAGGGGGGCTCCAGGGGCACACACTTGTAGGGCTAGAGATAGCACAGCAGGTCTTTCTCTATCACCTTGGGCTCCTCTGTGGGACCATAGTGCCTCATCACGCAGCCATTCTGATCAATGAGAAACTTGGTAAAGTTCCATTTAATGGCATTTCCCAGCATGCCCCTGCCCTTGGGCTGGACTTTCATCCGTTTCCGCGGTGGGTGGGCATCGTCCCCATTTACACAGATCTTGTACATGTCAAACTTGACATTGTAGCTGGCTGCAAACTCCTTGATTTCTTGATTACTTCCTGGCTCCTGCTTCCGGAACTGGTTGAAGGGAAGGCCAGGATTCGTAAACCACACTCAGCATATGGGGCATGCAGATCGACTAGTTGAGTGTAGTTTACTTCGGTTTTGCCTCATTGGGAGGCTACGTTAGTGACTTGCACATGAAACCCTTGTACTTATCTAGGCAAATCAGGTGCCCATCCGATGTCCTTGGCTGAGAATTCGGGCGTTGAGCGCCTGCGCACACAAGGCCAAACATCATGGGATGCGCACGTGGTGCCTGCGAGGCCTGGAGCAGCAGGAGCCCCGCACAGCAGCACAGGCTTCTGTTTGTTTGTTTTTTGAGACATGATTTTGTGGGGGCCAGCCATGATAAGGTAAGTCTGGGCAGGTCACCCAAAGGAAGTTCTTTACTTCCAACCATTATCACCTGGGACTCTGGCCATTGAAGAATTTAAATGCAGTCTGGAGTCTCAGTAGTTTATCCTGAGACAATGCCTGACCCCCACCCAAGAGCAGACCATTCAAAGGAAATGCCTGGCATTCCAAGAGCTGTAAATAGAGACACCTGACAGCCTCCATCAACAGGACACCCCTAGACAAATGTCAGCCAATCAGGGGCCCTAAACCTCAGAGACCCCTCCCCCCACCTCTACTGCTATAAAAACCCTATTCTAATTGAGCTTGGGGCTCTCCGGATATTCCTACGTATTGGACGTGCTGCGGAGAGACTGAGTTTGCAAACTTAACTAAAATAAAGGCTCTTTGGGTTTTACATATGGGACTCGGTCTCCTTTGTTGGCTTTTGTGGGGACCCCACGAACTTGGGCATAACAATTTTATATAACAACCCAGGCTGGAACTTAACTAAACAGCCAAGGAAGATTTTGAACTCTTTTATTTTTTTTATTTTTATTTTTTCTTTTGAGACAAGGTCTAGATAGCCTTTTGGTTGGCTTGGAACTCACTATGTATGTAGACCAAGCTGGCCTCAAACCTGGAGA